GGGGGGGGGCACTTGGGGGCACTGACCCAAAGTCATGGGGCACACGGGTGTAGAACTCGTTGCAGGCTTCCAGCAGGGCCCGTCCAGTGTCCCCGGCCCGCAGAACTGCCTCCACCTTCTGCAGTGACTGGAACCCAGCACGGATCTGCTCCACCGTCAGCTTCCCTGGGGGGAGCGGGTCAGAACCACCAGCGCCCGGCACCCCCCAGGGGCCCTCCGACTACCCCCAGATCCCCTGCCCCCCAGAACCCTCTCAACCACAGCCCACATCTGCCGGCCCCCGCCACCCCCAATCCCTCCCCTACATGCCCACGGGGGGGCTCACCGAGAGGAGCCTTCTTGGTGTCATACTTCATCTCCAGCACCATCTCCTCCATGGCCTGCAGGTCGCAGATCAGCCCCAGCAGCGCCTGCACTCGGTGGTCCAGTCGTGAGGCTGGTTTGGGCTGGGGGGCTCCCGCGCAGCTCGGCTCTGCGGCCTGGGCGGGGGGGGAGTTGTTACTGGATCTCCCAGCCGTACCCAGAGCACCCCCATTCTGCCACCCCGCAATGCTCCCATGGAGGTGGGACACAGGGCCCACTGCTTCTCCACGCGAGCTGGGGGGCCTGCGTGGGCTTCAGGATCCATGTGCAGGTAATATGGGGCAGGGGGCTATGTCTAGGGGGTCACGAGGCCAGCTGTCCTTGTGCAGGTTGTATGGGGGGGCTGTAAGTGGGGGTGTCACACTTACGGGGGGCCGGCTGTCCATGTGCAGCAGGTCGTACTTGCCAGGCACTTTCTGGAAGTTGCACCGCTCGGCCCAGTGGTTTTTGGTCTTGTCGAGGAACCTGGGGAGAGACCGGAGAGGGAGGCGAGGAGGGGGCAGGCTCCAAGGGGTTTGGGGGGAGGGAGGGGACTCACTTCTTAGTGAAGATCTCCTTGGCCTGGGCAAGGTCCCCAGCGCAGGACACCAGCGCGTGCTGGCCCGGCCGCCCCACTGCAGGGACATGACAGATGTGGTGATGGGGGACACAGCTCTGCCCCCCCAACCCCTGCCATGCACCCAGCCCCCTGCCACATCCCAGCCTCTGGCCACACACACCCAGCTCCCTCCCCCATGCAGGAGTGCCCCACGACACTCACCCAGCCCCCCATGGCCCCCACCCTGCTCACCGCGCCCCCAGCGCGTCCAGACGCTGTAGCTCCGCGGCCCATCGTCCTCCAGCAGCTGTAGGACGTAGAACTTGTTGTTGTTGAACTGGAGATTGGTCTGGGGGATGGATGGACAGACGGGGGGCTGGGCGTCAGGGACAGGGCTGGGGGTCTCTGCCCGCAGCAGCCCCCCTTCCCCCAGCTCCTGAGCGGGTGGCTCTCCCGGCCAGGAGTGCCACAGCGCCACACTCACCTGGTTGAGCATCACGTCGTAGACGTCGTCCCCTTCACAGTAAATGTGGGCCTGGGGGGAGATGGGCACTTCCTGAGCCGCAGCCGGCCCTGGGAAGGGATGGGGTGTGGGGAAGTCCCCTCTAGGGGGCATTGGCCCCAATCCCACCCCAGTGGGGACTGGCTGTCTCAGGGATGTGGGCCTTTTCCTCTCTAGGGGGCGCTGGCTCTGATCCCACCCCAGGTCAGGGACTGGCTGGTTCAGGGGACAGGGAACGGGGCATGGGGCTTTTCCCCTCTAGGGGGCGCTGGCCCCAATCCCGCCCCAGGGCAGGCATTGGCTGGTTCAGGGGGGTGGGGACTGGAGACCCCCGGGGCAGGAGGTCTTGCGTTACCTTCCCCAGTTTAGCCAAGCACTCAGGATCCACCGGCGCCTTCCCCTTCACAATCAGGGTCTTGATGACCTCTGGGGGTGACAGACAGAAATGGGGGTGGGGAGAGGATTTAAGAGATATCAGTGCAGGGATCCTAGGGACCTGAGCCAAGGTAGGGCCTGGTGCTCGAGGAACAACAGAGCTCCAGCCACGCCACGGGCCCCTTCCCAGGCAGCCACGAGGAGCCAGCAGCGTCCAAGGCCGACGTCACGCACTCCTAGCGCAGGATAGGGGAGGCACTTATAAATCACACCTGTTTCCAAATCAGCTTGGCTGCCTAACTCGCACCCACGAGTTGCAAAAGAGCTGGCTGAGATTATCTCTGACCTGCTGGCATTCATCTGAAATCAACCCCAGGATAGAGGGAACATTCCTGAAGAGCGGATGAGTGCGGCGCAAGTGTGTAGCTTTAGGCCAGTTAGCCTGACGAAAAGCCAGGGAAGAACAACACAAAAGCTGACGCGGGATTCAAGCAATCCCAGGTTAAAGCACAGGAACCTCAGCAAGGCCAGGCAGGTTTCACAGAAAACAAACAAAGCTGATCTCATCCGTTGGTGACGTTACGGGTTTCGTCGATACAGGGAACTTTATATGCTGTGCGACTTGGCACCGTGTGACCCGACTGAAAACCGAGCGCTGTGGGCTAGTGACAAAGTGCCTGACACACGGATTAAAAACTGGCTAACTGATAGATCCCCACACATCGTCGCCGCTGGGGAATCATTGTAGCCAGGACGTTTTTGTCGGCGACGCCGGCTGGCAGAGGGGGAAGTGATGCTAAGGTGGCGCCTGGCACCCCGGATCGTTCGGCGGCTGCACAGAATGAGGCTGAGCACGAACCAATGTGAAGTGACTCCTCCAGGAGCAGCAAGGCGGGTGGTGTGGTGGGGAGGGGCAGCTAGGATTCCTGGACACACCTTTTAGATCAGAGGTGGGCAAACTATGGCCCGCGGGCCACATCCGGCCCGCGGGACCGTCCTGCCTGGCCCCCGAGCTCCTGGCCCGGGGAGGCTAGCCCCCAGCCCCTCCACCACTGTTCTCCCCCCAAAGCCTCAGCTCGCTCGCTCCGCCACCAGCACAATGCTCTGGGCGGCAGGGCTGTGAGCTCCTGGGGCAGCGCAGTTGCAGAGCCTGGCCTGACCTGGTCTCTGTGCTGCGCAGTGGCGGCGGCGTGGCTGTAGCACCGCCAGCCACCGGTGCTCCAGGCAGCGCGGTATGGGGGCAGGGGGAGTTGGATAGAGGGTAGTTCAGGGTGGTGGTCAGGGGGCGGGGGGGTATAGGGGGTTGAATGGGGGCAGGGGTCCGGGGGAGGCAGTCAGGAGGGGGGGTGCTGGATGGGGCGGCAGGGGGTAGTCGGGGGCAGTCAGGGGCAGGGGTTCCAGGGGCTGTAAGGGGACAGGAAGAAGGGGTGGTTGGATGGGGCAGGGGTCCCAGGGGGGCCATCAGGAATGAGAGGAGGGGTTGCATGGGCGGCGGGGGTCTGGGGGCGGTCAGGGGACAGGGGTGTATGGATGGGGCAGGGGTCCCAGGGGGTCCGTCAGGGAACAGGGGGGGTTGGATGGGGCAGGAGTCCGGGGGGTGGGGGGGCAGATAGGAGGTGGGGGCCAGGCCATGACCCCCTCCCCTAACCGGCCCTCCATACAATTTACAAACCTGATGTGGCCCTCAGGCCAAAAAGTTTGCCCGCCCGTTTTAGATGCTAATCTATTGGAAGGGGGCAGAGCCAGAAAACCAGGG